TACTCCTCACCTGTCTGTACTCCTCACCTGTTTGTACTCCTCACCTGTCTGTACTCCTCACCTGTCTATACTCCTAACCTGTCTGTACTCCTCACCTGTCTGTACTCCTCACCTGTCTGTACTCCTCACCTGTCTGTACTCCTCACCTGTCTGTACTCCTCACCTGTCTGTACTCACCTGTCTGTGCTCCTCACCTGTCTGTACTCCTCAACCAGCGGCAGATACAGTTGCAACTGACAGCATAGCTCCTAGGATCATTCAGTCCAACAAACTCCTCCACCACAATAAGGTGGTGATTCAAGGAGGAGATTTAAGTAATAGTATTATATTATATAAAATATTAAATAATAGTATTTACCCAGTGTGTACTGAGCATGAACTAGGTAAATACCCAGTAGGTACCTAGTAAGTAATAGGTACATGTCTGGTACATACCAGACTGAATTATTTATCGCTATGAAAAAAGGAATAGCTAATAAAAATAAACATCATCAAAACCACAGAAGATAATAAAACAGACAAGAAACTAAGACATCACAATTTAACTCAGAACCACCTAAACCAAGGTGGTTCTGAACCCAACACCCCCCCCCCCCCCACACACACACACACACACACACACACACACACACACACAACATTAGATATGTAATTCATACAGACATACTTTAAAAACCAGAGCACAAACACACACAGAGACAGTAAAGTATGTCAGTATGAGTGTGTAAAACATATATATTTTTCTACTACAGTAAAATAAGAAAGTCAGTTTCTAAGACTGTTCTGCTGAAGACAGAAAACATAAACAGATTCCGAAAAAAATCTTACCTCGAACATAAAGGTTAGCTGGACTGGAAAACCGAGTCCCAGCGCTGTTCACCGCCACACACTCATACTTGCCCTCATCTGACATGTTGCTGTTCTCGATTTGAAGAGCTCCTGAGAAACAAGGCCAAGTTGTTACAGTTCAGACATGTACACCCCACACATGCGTAAATTCATGCACACATACAGAAAAATGTTAATATTCTCATTAAAGACCAGGCCTAAATTCATATTCATCAACTACAATTTAATCCCATCAGTTTTTAACCCTACAGGAATGAAGCCCATCTATCTTTCAACTGAAACATAGGAAGCAGTACATGATACACCACAGTAAATGTATGTACATGATATCTACCTGGAATATACAGGTATGTACTCAGAAACAGTGCTTATTGTACTTACAGGGTAAGAAGTCACTTCATAATACAGACCAGTACTTTTCATGTACATACTCAATACTTACCATAATTGCCAGTCTATAAGCCACTACTTTTGTCACAGGCTTTGAACACTACGCCTTATACAGCTAATTTATGGATTTGATTTACTTTTTAGACAGGCTAAGGAGCTTCCAGCCACCAAAAACATTTAATTTTGTCACACCCAGACACTCACACAGCTGTCCCATACACAGCTCTCTTGGGAGGTGGGTCCTCAGACAGTGTGAACCCCACAGGTCTTCATGACAACTACCTCCCTCACTCATGGTAACTCTATAGCAGGGGTGTCAAACTCACTTACCAAAGGGGCCTAAATTACAACCTTTTTCAAGGGCCAATTTCAAAAACCACACTAACTCACATCAGATACCCATTATCTTTTCTTGGTTACAGGTTTCTCAATAAGAGTTTGATTGGTCTCATGTTCTCTGTTGTGCTTACAATCAAAGATTACTGGGAAAAAAATAAAGAGATAGAAGTATTTTACATTTCACATATCATCTTAGGGGCCAGATAAGATGTCAACGAGGGCCACATTCGGCCCCCGGGCCTTGAGTTTGAAACATATGCTCTATAGAATGGCCAAACACCAACTAACACATTAACACATAAACTAGGCTAACAAAAACAGACTAATCACTCAAAAAAAAAACATGCTAAACAGATAACCGAAATTATTAACAATGAACATAAATTTTATCCATAATCCCTTTCTAAGGCCATGTGGCCAGCAGTCAACCACAATGGACCAATGAGGTAGTCTCATTGAGTCATGAGGACCCACCCCCCAAGAGAGACGTTTATTGATGAGACTCCTGTATAAATAAAGGTTAAAAAAAATCTGAACAATGAAATTACCAAAAAGGTCACAGCCGAGCCAATGAAACGGGGAGGGGTGAGGGAATCCCCCCATGAGTCACATGAGCATGTGAGCTCCGTGGAACAGGAGTCAGTCAATTTTTTTAAAAGCACATTTAAAAACAGCAACTGTTACCAAAGTGCTTAACAATAAAATCAATGGTAGTAATTTAATGAAAAATAATACCATAAATGTGTTAAAAGCATCAAAAGAAAAACATAAAAACACAGAACAAAAAACATTATAAGGACAGATTAATGAAGATAGCAATCAATGACTTCCTTGTAGGCTACGATATATATATATAT